TCTTGAACTCCTAACCTCATGTGATCCGCCAGCCTCAGCCTTTCAAAGTGCTGGGATTACAGGCAGGAGCCACAGTCCTGGCCTGCCCTGGAGGCTTTTATTATAAAATACCCTCCCTCCAGGGGCTGATGATCTCCCCTGTACAGCTTCGCTAGACACAGACCTTGCCCTTATTTCCAGAGTACTAACTAGAACTGGGCTGTGGTGTTTCATGGAGATTCTTTAGAAGCTGCTAGTTAACATAAGGGAATTGTAACACAGGCCTAGAAAATTCATGGGTCTAGGACTTCCCACAGTGGAACGCAGTTTTGCTTAAACCTGAGCCTGCAGTCACGTAGTAAGGCCACCGAACTTCACTTCTTCCCTGACCTCGCAGCGAGTCTTTGGGTATGTCTTCTCTTCTAAGCGTCCAGCCCCAAAGAGAAGAAGGATCTGCCCACTCATACCAGTATAAGGACTCCTTCCAACAGCCTCATTTCACATTTTAGGACCTACCTTATCCCAGAATGACTGACAACAGAAATGGGCCATCCCTGACAGCAAGGCTATCCTTGCCCCAACTGGATAGACAGTTTCTCAACAGATCCAGGTAACTCAGTATTTTATAGGATCATAGTCTAGCACTGGGTTAGACATGGAATACTCAATCCAGGTTATTTTTTAGAATCTCCTTTAATTGAAAGGGACAATTCTCCAGCTATTTTCAGGGTCTTGTTTCTTGATCTCTTGTAAGTAACTGCTTGCACAGTAATATGTGTGTGTACTTTTACCAAAAATAAGAATAATATGTTGTCTATATCTTTGCATAGTTTATTTCCTTACACCATGCATATCAAACCCATTCACTCTAGACGGCGTGGTAGCCAGTCTCTGAAGATAGCCCAAAATGAACCACGTCTCCTGGTATTAAATCTTCGTGTGGTCTTCTCACATAGAATCTGCGCTAACCTCATGATTCACTCATCCAATAGAACATGGCAGACATGACATTATACTAATTCTAGGCCTAAGCCTAAAGAAAGCTTCTGTCTTTATGCTTTTTTTTTTTTTATGAGACGAGTCTCTGTCTTTTTTTTTTTTTTTTTTTTAATATAAAAACGGGGTTTCACCATGTTGTTCAGGCTGAACTCCCGACCTCAGGTGATCCACCCGCCTTGGCCTCCAAAGTGCTTGGATTACAGGTGTGAGCCACTATGCCCAGCCGAGACAAGTCTCACTCTGTCACCAGGCTGGAGTACAGTGGCATGATCTTGGCTCACTGCAAACTCCTCCACCTCCCAGTTTCAACTGATTCTCCTGCCTCTGTCTCCCCAGTAGCTGGGATTACAGGCGTGCACCACCATGCCCAGCTAATTTTTGTATTTTATTAGAGATGGGGTTTCACCATGTTAGCCAGGATGTTCTTGATCTCTTGACCTCATGATCCGCCCACCTCGGCCTCCCAAAGTGCTGAGATTACGAGCATGAGCCACAGCAGGCAGCTCCTGTCTTTGTACTTATAAAAACCCTGAAGCAGCTCTGCTCAGCGGCTTACACTTGTAATCCCAGCACTTTGGAAGGCTGAGGTGTGCGGATCATCTTAGGTCAGGAGTTTAAGACCAGCCTGACTAACATGGTGGAACCCTGTCTGTACTGAAAATACAAAAATTAGCCAGGCATGGTGGCAGATGCCTATAATCCCAACTACTCAGGAGGCTGAGGCAGGAGAATCACTTGAACCTGAAAGGTGGAGGTTGCAGTGAGCTGAGATCATGTCAGTGCACTCCAGCCTGGGTGACAGAGTGAGAACTTGTCTCAAAAAACAAACAAAAAAACCCGGAAACAGCATGGAAGAAATCAGGCTACCCTACCAAAGAGACCACATAGAGAGGTTAGTCACATGGAGAGAGGTCCCAGCCCCCAGTCATCCCTGCCAAGGCTGCAGACATATGAATGATGCCATCTGCAAGGTCCCATCCATGCCACCATCTGACTGCCTTATTCAGCCACTATGTTTCAAGTGTCTTATTTGGTGACTATTGATAATAGAGCATGTTGAAGTCAGGGATGTCAGACCAGCTTGGCCAACATGATGAAACCCTGTCTCTTCTGCAAATACAAACACTAGCTGGGCATGGTGGCATGCACCTGTAGTCCCAGCTACTTAGGAGGCTGAGGTGGGAGGATTTCTTGAACCTGGGAGGTGGAGGTTGCAGTGAGCCGAGATTGCACCACTGTACTCCACCCTGAGCAACAGAGTAAGACTCCACCTCAAAGAAACAAAACAAAACACAACAAAAATTAGCTGGGAGGCCGGGCGCGGTGGCTCAAGCCTGCAATCCCAGCACTGGGAGGCTGAGGCGGGTGGATCACGAGGTCAAGAGATCGAGACCATCCTGGTCAACACGGTGAAACCCCGTCTCTACTAAAAATACAAAACATTAGCTGGGCATGGTGGCACGTGCCTGTAATCCCAGCTACTCAGGAAGCTGAGGCAGGAGAATTGCCTGAACCCAGGAGGCGGAGGTTACGGTGAGTCGAGATCGCGCCATTGCACTCCAGCCTGGGTGACAAGAGCGAAACTCCGTCCCAAAAAAAAAAAAAAAAAAAATTAGCTGGGCATGGTGGCATGCACCTGTAGTCCCAGCAAGTTGGGAGACTAAGGTAGGAGAGTCACTTGAACCCAGGAGGTGGGGGTTGCAGTGAGCCAAGATCATGGCACTGCACTCCAGCCTAGGCAACAGGGCAAGACTCTGTCTCAAAAAAAAAAAAAAAAAAAAGTCTATAGAAAGAAAATGTGTATCTATTCATTCATTCAATCATCCATTTATTCAACAAATAGTCAATGAGTACCAATCGTAGGACAGATACTCTTCAAAACATTCAGAACTCAATTCTAGGCGTCCTGTCACTGCTGCAACAGTTATAGAGTATTTTTTTAGTTTACAAAGTTATTTCTCCTGATGGATTAAATTGGTCACCAAAACCTTAAAATTCCCAAAAGAAGATAAGGCTACTTTCCACCATCCATAAAGGTTGGTAAGATTTGTTTTCATAACTTCAGCACCATGTAATGATGGTAATGATGGTTATTGTGGCCCTGAATTATTTCAAATGTAAAGAATGATAGTGACAGCTCTGTAAAGAGAGAGGCCTAATAGAAGTTTCTCATCAATAAGTGGTCATAAATGTAGGTGATGATGCTATTCCAAAAACACCACTTATGAATAATACAATGCACTTGAAATCTAAGTATGCCTCTCAACAGGAATGACACAAGCTGACATAAATAAATAAGTGACCAGTGTGTTATGATGATAAGTGTTTTATAAATACCTAATTATATCATATTAAACGTGGGTGGAAAATGGTGGTGGGGCAGTTAGACTCACATGTGTTCCTTTCTAGTTCCTGAGTACTTCTCAGAATTTTTCACAAGGTGGTCAGTTTCATGCTCCATGCCTCAGGACAATGTGCAAATTTCCTTAGGTGGACCTGCTAAATTATTGAATAGACCCAGGCAACAAATGATATACTAAATATTTGATTAGTACCAAGAAAAGCATTTGAACACACAGCAATATTTTCTTTTTCTATTCGCCCGTTTTTTTTTTTTTTTTTTTGAGATGGAGTCTTGCTCTGTCACCCAGCCTGGAGTGCAGCGACGTGATCTCAGCTCACTGCAAACTCCACCTCCCGGGTTCAAGCAATTCTCTGCCTCAGCCTCCTGAGTAGCTGGAATTACAGGCACCCACCACCACGCCCAGCTAATTTTTTTTTGTATTTTTAGTAGAGACAGGGTTTCACCATCTTGGACAGGCTGGTCTTGAATCCTGACCTCGTGATCCACCCGCCTTAGCCTCCCAAAGTACTGGGATTACAGACGTGAGCCAATATTTCATAAAAATAGATAAATTCTAGAAGTTGCAGCGTTAAAAAAACAAAAGGATAGTGTGAATTTCTTACATGTAAAATGTAGGCATTAACACTGTATTTTCAAGAATGTGGCTATTTTCATATATGAAAACTAACGTGAATGCATTTGATACGAGGAGGTGCATGATATTAGTCATTTGATATGAGGAGGCGCATGATATTAGTCATTTGAAATGTGTCCCTCAGAGGCTATATCTAGGAATCAAGAAACTTAAGATCTATTTGTGTTTTTCAGTCCAGAGCGAAGTTAGCAAGTGTTGAAAGCTGTTAATTTTAGAGAAGATGGAAAAATGATGAAAAAGAAAATGAGAATGCCCTGTGTTCCTGTGACTTCAAAGAAACCTGTAGACATAACTCCATTCATCTCAGAGAATAACCCTGCTAATTATGTTATACGTATTATATATAATTATATTGTTATACGTAATAAACTAATTTCTTAGTTGCTTGTTTTATAGAAAGAGAGTTCAGGCCTTGGGAAAAGAATTGTGCAAAAGTGGAAAAACCAGAAAGAAACTCTTAGATCTTCTAACTCTTTGGCGTAGATTATTCTTTCTCTGTAACTGGAGACACATTTTCCTCCTGCTCTAACTGGTTCCGTGGATTGTGAGCTCCATAGTGGGAATGTATCTTTTTTTTCTCTCCTAGTTTCCCCTACTCACTGTTGATTCTCTTCCCATCTCTCAGCTCACTTTCCAATGTTTTTCCAGTAAGTGTCTCTTCTATTAGATAAGTCTTGCAGTTATTGGTCTCTCCTTGGCCAACTCCCTTCCTTTTTTTAAATTGAGATTGAGTCTCACTATGTTGCCTAGGGTTCTCTCTAACCCCCAGGCTCAAGCAATCCTCCTGCCTCAGTCTCTCCAGTAGCTAGAATTACAGGCACACACTGCCACACCCAGCTACTTTTTTTTTTTTTTTTGAGACAGAGTCTCACCTTGTCTCCCAGGCTAGAGTGTAATGGCACAACCTCAGCTCACTGGAACCTCTGCCTGCCAAGTTCAAGCAATTCTCATGGCTCAGCCTCCCGAATAGCTACTCGGGATTATAGGCATGTGCAACCACGCCTGGCCAATTTTTGTATTTTCAGTAGAGATGGGGTTTCGCCATGTTGGCCAGACTGGTCTCAAACTCCCGACCTCAAGTGATCCACACACCTTGGCCTCCCAAAGTGCTGGGATTACAGGAGTGAGCCACATGCCTGACCTAAATTTTAGCTTGTATAGTGGAGGTGTTAGTGCATCTCAGTGAGACTATCTGACACTTTCTGCCCCCTCCCCCCTACTCCTATCTGAGCAGTAGTGGTGATGTTCTGTGTTCACTGCCCTTAGCATAGGGTTGGTAGAGAAAAAAATACAGACAAGAAAGGAGAGTTTTTTTTGGTTTTTCCATTTAAAAGTAGACTGTGAGGCTGGGTGCAATCACTTATGCCTGTAATCCCAGCACTTTGGGAGGTTGAGGCAGGTGGATCACCTGAGGTCAGGAGTTCAAGACCAGCCTGGCCAACATGACGAAACCCCGTATCTACTAAAAATACAAAAATTAGCTGGGTGTGGTGGTAGGCACTGTAATTCTAGCTACTCAGGAGGCTGAGGCAAGAAAATCACTTAAACCCGGGAGGAGGAGGCTGCCGTAAGCTGAGGTTGTGCCATTGCACTCCAGCCTGGGTGACAGGAGCGAAACTCCATCTCAAAAACAAAAAAAAGACTATGAAACTCATTCCAGAAACAGTAGCCTGAAGGAAAATATATTTAGTCTAAAAATCCTTTCTTTTGAGCATCAGAATCTGGCTTTTGAATATCAGAAGCTAAAATCCCAAAGAATTTAGAAGAGTAAAGTATTTCTATCATCAGTAAGTTTGGAAGAAGACATGCTCATATAAGAGTTTGCCCCACTCAAGGCAGGACGTGGTGGCTCATGCCTGTAATCCCACCACTTTGGGAGGCTGAGACGGGTCGATCACTTGAGGTCAGGAGTTCCAGACCAGCCTGGCCAACATGGTGAAACCTCATCTCTACTAAAAATACAAAAATTAGCCAGGCATGGTTTCAAGTGCCTGTAATCCCAGCTACTCAGGAGGCTGAGACAGGAGGATCACTTGAACTTGAAAGGCAGAGGTTGCAGTTAGCCGAAATCATGCCACTGCACTCCAGCCTGGACAACAGAGCAAGATTCTGTCTCAAAAAAATTTAAAAAAAGTTTACCCCACTCTAGAGGATATAAGATCCCCTGACAGGGTGGAGGAACAGAAATAATTTCGATGAGTATCCTTTCTTGCACCATTCCAAGCCTGAAGAGGAGCAAGGGGAAATAAAAGAAACTCCAGATTGGCTTGGGTCTCTGAAGTGGAGGGAATCTGTTGTTAAACATCAGTCTCCACCAGGCACGGAGCTCATACCTGCAATCCCAGTGCTTTGGGAAGCCAAGGTGGGAGGATTGCTTGGAGCTAGGAGTTTGAGACCAGCCTGGGCAACACAATGACATCCCACCTCTACAAAAAATAAAACAATTAGCCAGGCCTGGTGGCATGTGCCTGTAGTCTCAGCTAATCTCAGAAGGCTGAGAAAGCAGGATGGCTTGAGCCCAGGAGATCGAAGCTGCAGTAAGACATAATCTGCCACTGCACTCCCACCTTAGCAATAGAGCAAGACTCTGTCTCAAAAAAATAAAACAAAACAAAAGTCAGTCTTATATAGGCTTCTTGCATCCAGCATGGACTGGGCATAGGTCACAAAAGTACATGAAACTGTCCCGCTACCCTACCTATAGCCTTCCAGGCAGGTGAACAAGCAGCCAAATATTTTCCATTCCCTGGGAGAGATGTGAAGGCAGCTGAGAGAGAGATGATTTAGGATTAGGAAGAAGGAAATGGTAGCAGATAATCCCCTGAACATTCTGACCACAGATCTGATGAGAAAATAAACATCTCAAGAGATTCCAGCCAGGCGCGGTGGCTCAAGCCTGTAATCCCAGCACTTTGGGAGGCCGAGGCGGGTGGATCACGAGGTCAAGAGATCGAGACCATCCTGGTCAATATGGTGAAACCCCGTCTCTATTAAAACTACAAAAAATTAGCTGGGCATGGTGGCGCGTGCCTGTAGTCCCAGCTACTCAGGAGGCTGAGGCAGGAGAATTGCCTGAACCCAGGAGGCGGAGGTTGCGGTGAGCCGAGATCGCGCCATTGCACTCTAGCCTGGGTAAAAAGAGCGAAACTCCGTCCCCAAAAAAAAAAAAAAAAAAAAGAGATTCCAGTGAGAAAGATGAAGAACAACCAAAGGCCGGATAAAATGTGGCCATTGAGGTCAGGCATGGTGGCTCAGGCCTGTAATCCCAGCACTTTGGGAGGCTGAAGCAGGAGGATCACTTGAGCTCAGGAGTTTAAGACCAGCCTGGACAATGTAGTAAGACCCTTGTCTCTAATTTTAAAATTAACATTTATTAAAATAAATAAATGTGGCCATTGAGCCCTAGACACTACCTAGTCCCTCCCCGACCTCACCAGAATGCACCAACATAGCACTCGGAATTGAGATACAGCTCTGGGGTGAGGAGGAGAGAGGCAAGAGTTTGATCAGCTAAGAAAGCCCTGTTGGCTAAAGATTACATTTCTGCCACTAGGCAGAATGGGGACTCAAGTTATAAATCAAGTTTATTGAGCTGGGCACAGTGGTGCTCACCTGTAATCCCAACTACTTGGGGAGGCTGAGGTGGGAGGATTGCTGGAGCCCAAGGGTTAGACACCAGGCTGAGTAACATAGTGAGATCCCATCTCAAAAAGTAATAGTAATAATAATCAAGTTTACATAGAACAAAAATTAGAAAAGCTTTGTTTCCTGCATACCCAAGTATGAGTATTGAAATTTGTTCAAGCTACACTAGTTTTTAATCTGTTCACATGACTGTCTACCACCCTGGGCTATAAACTCATCAATGGTAGGGACTGAGTCGTTTCATCTCTGACTCCTTAGCGCATATCATAAAGACTGAAATGGAGGCTGAATATATGGTCAGTGGATTCAGCCATTTGATTCACATCCAAGCATGATATATCCAATGTTGCCAAACACCCTGAGCAGGGGGGTGGTAAGATAATCCAAGAGCGAAATCTATTTAGCCAGGGATCCATGTGTGTTTGGGACGGAGAAGATGAGATAGTAGGGGCAGTGGGGAGGCAGCCTGTGGGAAATCCCAAGAGGTGCCTTTGTGTAATCATCACTAGAGATTATAAGGTTGTTAAACCATGGGGGATTTTTTCCGGGCTGGAAGAATCGCTGTAGGATCTAACCCAAAACAAAGTCAGGCATTTTTGCTTCAAAGCCTGTAGACGGGGCTGATTTTAAGAGTAGGTGGATTTTACCTTTGCCTCCACGTGTGATTTTAGAGTCCCAAGCAGCTCCCTGCAAATCTTCCCCATCTGCTGTTGCTGGGTGATGCCTGGTATTCCACTGTCAATTCTCCCTCCATTTCTTTAGCCTGAAATCTTATTCCTTGCTAAAATGGAGACAGATTTGAGAAAAAGAAATATTTTGCGTTACTATCAGCCTTTTATCCTTTGAGCTGACCAAAAGTGCGAAGGAATTTTTTTTTTTTGTATTTTTAGTAGAAATGGGGGTTTCACCGTGTTAGCCAGGATGGTCTCTATCTCCTGACCTCACGATCCTCCTGCCTCGGCCTCCCAAAGTGCTGGGATTACAGGCATGAGCCACCACACCCAGGCTTTGCATTTTTAAAACAAGAGATAGGTTGGATGGAGAGGTAGAAAGTAGCAGGTACGTGGAAGTTGGGAAGGAGGCTCCCTGAGTGGAGAAAAGACAGAATAGAGAAGCCCCAGGTACAGATTCTTTGCAGGCTTTGCAGTTCTGCATAGGGCCTTCTATACCTAGGCAAGAACAGGCTGTGGATCTGGATCTAGGAGAACTGGAGAAAGAAAATAGAGGAGTTCCCCATCCCCCACTGTCTCACACTAGTCATTGGCACCTTGAGAATTGTCCTGGCCTGCTTAGTAGCAGTTTTCTGTCTTGGATGAATTGATGCTTTTCTAAGAAGAAAGAGAGGCGTGATGGACGGCAGCCGAAGTAAACCCTGGGGCATGCACCAACTCACCAAATTGATTCCTGGGCTTGGGATACAGAGAACTATGTAATTACGAGACTGTAATGCTTGTAAATTGGCTTGAGGAAATTAGACACATAAACCCGATTGCCAGGAGCAATGAGATAAGATAGATTTTTTTGGAGCCAAATGGATTTTATGGATGCAAGCATCTTAGAGGCTTGGTTTTTCTGATGACAAGACATTGCTGAGAGAAATCTAATGACTGCAGGAAGTAGCTCTCACTTGCCAAAGCAAAGAAACAGTGATAGTGAGGGCAAAGATGTGACAGGCACAGTCTGAAGGTTTGAGAATGTTCTGGAAAGACTGACTGTCAAGGAGCCCATTCTTCTCCCCATTTAACTAGGTCTTCTCAAGCAGGATGAAAAGGATCTAAGTTCATCTCTGCTGTGCTTCTGTTCAAGTGACTAAGTCATGGACACACTGGTATGGCTTAGAAACAAATACATAGCCATTGTCTTAGTCCCTTGAAGCTACTGTAACAAAATCCCATAAATTGAGTAGCTTATAAACAACAGAAGTTTATTTCTCACAGTTCTAGATGCTGGCAAGTCCAAGATTAAGATGCCAGCAGGTTTGATGTGTGATGAAGGCCTGTCCTCTAGTTCATGGCTAGCGGTAGCGGGCTATCTTCTTACTGTATCCTCACATGGTGGAAGGGGCTAGCTAGCTCTCTGCAATCTCATTTGTGAGGGCTGTGTGCTCTTCTTCTAATCACCTCCCAAAGGCCCCACCTCCTACTACCATCATCTTGGGGGTTAGAATTTCAACATACGAATTTTGGAAGGACACAAACATTCAGACCGTAGCAATCATCGATTGTACCTTAGGTGTCTTTGGAAACTTAGCACCTCCAAATGGAGTGGAGTCAGGAAGACTTAAGTGTTGTAACTTATTTTTTTTTTTTTTTTGAGACAGAGTCTCTCTCTGTCGCCCATGCAACAGAGTACAGTGGCCCAATCTCAGCTCACTGCAACCTCCGCCTCCCAGGTTCATGCGATTCTGGTACCTTGGTCACCTGAGTAGCTGGGATTATGGGTGTGCACCACCATGCCTGGACGATTTTTGTATTTTTAGTGGAGATGGGGTCTCACCATGTTGCCTAGGCTGCTCTTAAACTCCTGACCTCAGGTGATCCACCCATCTTGGCCTCCCAAAAGCGCTGGGATTACAGAAGTGAGCTACTGCGCTCGGCCAAGTGATGTAACTTTTACTGCTGCCTTTCTCTTTGATCTTTACCCTCCCTGCCAACTTCTCAGCCTCTCAGTTGGCATGGTGAAGTGAGCGCTGTGCTGAGAGCCACGGATATGCTTGTTGATTCTACATCGGGGAAAAGAATCACCAGCACATCTCAATATAGG